AAGGTTGACAAGCAGCTTTTTCCTCAATGAAGATGTACTATACAAAAGAAATTATAACATGGCCTTGCTCAGATGCGTGGATAGACACGAAGTAGACATGTTGATGCATGAAATCCATGAAGGTTCCTTTGGTACCCATGCCAATGGACATTCAATGGAAAATAAGATGCTTAGGGCATGTTACTATTGGCTGACAATGGAATCCGACTATTATAAATTTGCAAAGAAGTGCCATAAATGCCAGATTTATGCTGACAAAATCCATGTTCCTTCGACGCTTCTCAATGTTATTTCTTCCCCATGGTCTTTCTCTATGTGGGGTATTGACATGATTGAAATGATTGAACCCAAGATGTCAAATGGATATCACTTTATATTGGTGGCAATTGATTACTTCACCAAATGGGTGGAAGCACCTTCATATGCTAATGTTACTAAGTAGGTGGTAGTGCACTTTATCAAGAATAATCTCATATGTCGGTATGGTGTGCCAAGAAGGATTATCACCGACAACTTCTCAAATTTGAATAATAAGATGATGGCATAACTTTGCAAAGAATTCAAGATTATCCATCACTATTCATCTCCCTATAGGCCGAAGATGAATGTGGCTGTTGAAGCCGCTAATAAGAACATTAAGAAGATCATCCAAAAGATGGTTGTTACTTACAAAGATTGGCATGAGATGCTCCCTTTTTCTTTGCATGGGTATCAAACATCTATCCTCACTTCAACAAGGGCAACCTCGTTCTCTCTTGTGTATGGCATGGAAGTAGTGCTCCCCGTTGAAAATAGATTAAAAAACAAAAATTGTTTTTTGAAAAGAATTTACAAATTACTTCTTGCTTTAAATTTTGTGATTCAAAGAGAACAAAAATAGTGACTCCAAGGATGGACGACCTCTGAAATTTTGGAAGTAGGAATCCCCCAGGAAAGGCTCTCCCAGGTCACTTTTGCTGGTTTGAGTACGATATTCTTGTGCTTCTCAGATTATTGAAGATGATACCAATTGATGTATGGTGCGGTATTGGGTTTGTAACCCTATTTTCCCTAGTCAAGTCTCAGTTCATTTTGATTTTAGGTTTGCAGGGTCTGAGGTCTCTATCCCGTTTTCTCCAATAAGGCAACCAGACAAGGGCAATGTATTTTCCAAGAAATGTTGAAACAATTGTCAACTTTTTGGGTTTTCTCTCACCAAGTGCTAGATTTGATTTAAAATCCACATAAGTTTGATTTCTTGCTGTAATGTTTGACTTCTTAAATCCCTAGATATGGATATCCTTGTGAAGTTTCATAAGTTCTCCCTAGAGAAGTTGGTGCAATCATCGCTCTCTGTATTGAAGAATGTATCTTGGTTTCCCCTCGACGATGTGTTATTGCCCTCCCCAATGAAGTCAATACAATATCTGCAGTTGATGTCTCGACAATGTAGTATTGTTTTCCCCATTGAGAGCAGTATTGCAATCCCCAGTAGAAGTACATACCTTGAAACATTTGCTTTTCCCTATTGAAGTCTGTGTGATATTCCTCGGTAAAGCTTGGACGATTATGTTATATCCCTGTATCTGTACTGATCTATTGTTATGATTTGTATATTTTCGGATTATGCTCCTTGCTAGTGAAGTTAAGCTGTGAAGTAGGAATTTGTTTCCTCAGTCGGTGCTTACTTTCTCATGAAATTTTCATCTTGGATGTGTTTTAGCCGAGTATTGACTGTACCCAAGTTGGTTTTGTCTGGTTATCCCCAGTGTTATATGTCTGTTTTGTCAACATATACATGATCACATTCATACATTCATACATACATCATGCACAATTGAATTTAGAAAATCATTGCGCATTTGCATTCATTAATATCTTGTTGGAATATTACCCTGTTTTACAGAGTTGTGTTATCCTCTCTCCAATAGAATGTCAACCTTAGGCAGAAAGTGTATATTCTTTCAAATTCCCCACTGAGTTATCCCTCGTTGAAGATTTTTGCTTTAGCCTTCCAGTACAGCTCTTTGTCTGGATAGAAGTGATTCCCTCTTGAGTTTTTTTCTCATGAAGTGCTATTTTGATTGACTGATTCATTCCGGTTTATTTCTGGATTGAATCTATGGTCCCTAGCTATTTTATTATTTTTATTTCTGCAAGCTTTGAGCCCTGGTTTGAGAATGTGCATTTATTTTGCCCGTGAAGACTTTATCTCCTCAGCAGGAATATATTGGCATTTCCCCAGGAAGTCATGTTTCTTTCCTCAGGAAGTCCTATTAATTTCCCCAGGAAATCATTATTGCAATTCTTTCTTGAACAGCAAGTGGCAGATCTCTTTATTTGAGCAACCTGTACTTCCCTAGTAAATCTGTCAGTTCCTAGAGAAGATTCAGATTTTGTTACTCCAATGAATGATAGTCTTGTCATTATGGAAGGTAGTTTGTTGTTGAGATTTGTTACTCCAATGAATGGTAGCCTTGTCATTATGGAAGGTAGTTCGTTGTTGAGATTTGTTACTCCAATGAATGGTAGCCTTGTCATTGTGAAATGTAGTTTGATATTGAGATTTGTTACTCCAATGAATGGTAGCCTTATAATTATGGAAGGTAGTTTGTTGTTGAGATTTGTTACTCCAATGAATGGTAGCCTTGTCATTATGGGAGGTAGTTCGTTGTTGAGATATTTTTCCGATGAATGGTAGCCTTGTCATTATGGAAGGTGGTCCGTCGTTGATTTTCTATTGCTCTAAAGAAGTTCATTTGTTTCCAGTTGGGAGCACTGATGCTAATCATTTTCCACTTACCCTAATATTGGTATTTACTGGTATTATCTTACCATTTCTTTCCCTGGTGGGTCGATGTTGTTTTTTTTCTATCTCCTCAGTGAGTGGATAGTTCGCAGTCATCTGTCGATCACAATTATCCTCTATCTCCTCTCTAGACTTTACCCCGATAAAGTCAGGTCTCTTATTCACCAGTGATTTATTTTCCTGGTCGGATTTTCCATTTGATCTTTGATTTTATCTTATTTCATCCCCAGTGGTGTCTTGTGTCACTCATTGGACTTTTTCATTTGCATTCATAATCACAATCATTGCATGGCATCTTAGGGAAAAAATGTGGCTTGTTTTATATTTAAGTATCTTCGATCGCGATGACACGAAGATTTTAACCTTCGCATCTCCTGATAGAAGACACTTAAATAAGGGCAACTATTGTACCCCAATTTCCCCACATAAGATTCATTTATCATATCATATCAACTCAATCATAACAAGATCATACTAGGGTTTGGTTTTTCTCCTTATCTTTATCTTTGCTTCTGAGAGATCATCAAGCACCTTGAACCGTATGCCTCATATATATGTATATTATATTTTACTGACTTCTAACCAAAATTCCAAAAATTTGTTTTGTCTGTTTTATGTCTTGAAAGATAGGGTTTGCGACCAAGAAGTTCAGATGATGACTCTCCGATTAGGGTTATGGTTTGTTCAAACAAAAAATAGTTCATAAAAGCCTATGGCTCAGAGTGGTGATCTATAATGTTAGGTCGCGTTATCCTCAAGTTTCATCCAACATAGTTAAGACGAGTCTGATTACTTAATTCTCAAGATTCTTCGAGATAGGTTCATATGTTTATTTCCATGCCTTCTTTGACGTCACAAGTTCATATGTGATTAATAGTATCTTGGGTTGGGATAAAGATCAAGATCGCGAGTTGATTTGAATTTGTCAGACCAAAAGTCCATGTTTTCCAATTTGAGTTCGAATGATCATAACATCCTTATTGTTTAATATTTTTGAGCGATTATTCGAGCATATGAATCTCCTTGACGTCATCTCCAACTTCTCTTTACAAGTCAAGAGCTAATGATGTGAGGAACAACTTTGCTTCAGAAGGTTTCTCAAAATGGTTTCAGCTGTTGCACGCTAAATTTCGGCCCTAATTTTTTTAGTCGCATTATCATTTCATATTTTGTTATTTAGTCACAATCTTCAAAAGATATCTTCATTCATCACATTTTGCATCATTAGTCATATTTAAGTTGACCAAAAGTCAGTTTAAATCGAAGTTTGCATCGTTTTGTAGTTGAAAAATACATGATATTTCACTTCATGCATTTTTATCTCTTTACTCGTTTCTTGCATTGCTTCAAGTTGTTTATATGTCGATAATATTAATATTTCCATTTTACATACAAATTGTTAAAAGCGATTCGATACTGTGCGGAAAATTAGCGAGGAAAATATTTTAAGTTTTCACCTTTTACTGATCATTTTATGAATTCGCGTTTCGCGTAGATTATGACGGTATGCTCGTTTCATTTTTTCGATACAATTCAAAGTCTCATTTTTAATCGTAAGTGTTTGTTCAGTCTAATATTTTTATTCTCATTTTATTTCGATTTTGATCATTTGAATATTTTTTCTTTAATCTTTGAGATAGGTAGTTTATTTTAATGTGTTCAGTTCATTTTTTTGTATATATTTTTGTCCATTTTTTTATCGTTTTTAGTCATTTCCGACTCTCTATTTTTTTATTCAGAAAAATAAAAAAATTATTTTAAATTATATTAATTTTTATACTTTCAAATTTTTATGCTTTTTTATTTTATTTTTAGAGGACTTTTTAGTCATTAAATTTTTTTGTTAAATTAAACTTTGTTTTAATTGGTTACAAGAGGTAGTGCAGGATCAATAAATTAGAAAAAGAAAATAGCAAACTGATCCAATTGTCAAGAAGAACAAATTTTCTTCTTCTTTTTTGTCTATATAACAACTTCTTATTTTTCTTTGTAAATACACAACTCACTTTCAATACACAGTAACCTCTCCTCTCTTCTCCTATACACAACAAAAACAACACAACCAGTAATACTCCCTCTCTCCACACTAGCTACCCTCCCTCCTCTCTTCAATCTAAACACATAAACAATTTCCACACAATTAACAAATCACCTTCAATACACGAACCCAATCTGTTCAAACCCCTCACCTCTGTTTCACGAAACCCCTTCATCAACTACCTTCGAACCAACCTTCCTCCTCTTGCAACTGTCCATCACCTTCTTCATCTACAGTACCTCCAGTAATACCCCTCCTCCAGTTACCATAACCCTTTCCCTCTCTTCAAACATCCCAACAACACAACCTGATATCCACTACCATTAACTCCTTACCACCTTCTCAAAACAACCGTACGTGCCATACCTTCGTCTCTGTGCTTCACCTTTCAGCACCGATATGCTATCTCACCATCCCAATTTTTGCTCAACACCCGAAGCAATGCTTTCGATCTTCTTGAAGGAAGAACAACCGATGACGCTATGAGGAACCATTCGACGACATCAATTCTGTTTGGTGGAACAATTTCTGTAACCGCAGCAATTTCAACACCTTTGCTTTGATAATTTTGACGCTGTTCGGTAACTCTTCGATTCTACTGGATTGTTTAAACCGTGTTGTTATGTTCTGATTAATTATTGTATTGCGCAAATATGTTGAAAACTGATGGTAATTTTGGTTTGTTATTGTGTTCATATCGCGATTGTTGGACTGTTTTGAAAAATAGATTGGTGATGTGTTTACTTCTTAGTGTGTTGAAACTATGGTTACTTATTATTGAATTTAGTGTTGATAATTGATTTGTTTCATGATAAAGCTTGAATCGAAAATTCTGGTTTGTTCCTGTTAAGTCGTGATGAAGAATTTGTTATTGTTATGCTGTCCGGGTTAAAACGGCAAGATTCTTAATGTCAAAATGAGGTGAAATTTGCGTGTGATATCGTGTTTTTGTGTCTGAAATTTAAGTGATAGCATCTCTTTGTTTGTTTCTAATTGTGAGTGAATGTTATTCGAAGTTTAGTTTCAATGAAGGTGAAGATAATGCCGCATTTATTTGTGTGTAAATCTGACCGAGAAACTATCAAGGATAACATGTTATTTCCTTTGTGTGAATTTGAGCGAGAAAGTCATTTTAATCTTGAGTATAATCGATTGAGTTGTGGCTTCCTGGAATTCAGTTTATTTGTTAAATCTTGGTTTTTGAACTTAATTTTATGTCATGTTGATTTGAACCGTTTCGAGTGAATAGTTGATGTTGTTTTGATTATGTTTTGTTTTGAATTCAAACGATATAATCTTGGTTGCAATAACATTGTTTGTTCCGGTAGCGTTCGTTTGATGTAAGTTGAACTTTTGAGTTTTTCATGTTCATGGCTGCCTGAATTTGATTTGTTTGATCTTATCTTGTTTTGAAATCAATTGTCTATGTTTCGATTTTGATTTGAATAAAAGCATGATTTTCCTTGTTTTTTTGTGTGAATTGAAACCTTTAAATAATCATCAAATTACTTGGTTTTCTAATTGTTCATGTGCATCATGCGAATTTCATTTCGACTCTTATACTTTGTGATTACTCACATATGTTCTAATTATCGCAATTTCATTTGATTTCATTCTTATACCTCTTATGCTACTAACATGTTTGTTATTGTGAAGGTTTCCAAATTTTTTTTCCAGCATTCATTCTCGCATAGCGCATCTATACTTTTTCTTTATTTCCTTTTTATTATATTTTATTAATTAGATTTAATATTTAGTAATGTAAATATGTAATTGTACATAATACTTTTGATTTTATATTTTATTCACTTCACTTGTAAATAAATTCAAGTTATGTAAATATACTTTCCATTGCGTTGCGATTTTGAATTTTAATTCAAGTTAATTTTTGAAAATCGTACGAACGCATATGAGTTTCCCCGTGCTGTTGGATTTGTATGTATATATCTTGTGATGTAGGGATTCTTATCCGATACCGTGAACTTTATCCATCGCCTTTGCGCTTTATCTGATTCCTCTCATGATCCACGATTTCTTCGTTCGTGATTTATTTTCACGTGTTGTACTTCTCGCTTATGATTCACTGTGCTTTATCCGGTGCTGAGAGTATTATCTTATGTTTGTGTTTTTTGATGTTGTCGGCTTGTGATTTATTTTCACCTGAGGTTTGGTATACTCTTAGCTTATTTATTTATCAGTGGCTTTAAACCCAAAGGGATGAGAACATTGTATTGACTTTATCATGTCAAGTACTGATTTCTTATTCGCTCAGATCCTTTTTCCTTATATTTTACCCTCATGTACATAGGATACTCTCCTCCCATCTTCTTTAATTTCAAAAAATCTTCTCCCTTCTTCTGAAAACTCTTCTTGTTCTAAACATGAACCACTTTCGTAATAAACTTGGACTTAGGTCCTTGCATTTTCAAAAATATTTTCTCAATCAAACTTTAAACAATTTAACAATACTTTGACATTTTTTATGAGAAGACTAAAAGTCAATCAATCTAATTCAAATTATTATGCCATTTTGACTCTCATCTTTAAAATTTTCTCAAAAGATTATACTCTTGTCAATCCTTGTAGTGATGCGAGCTATTTTACTTATACGATATATAGTGAAATGAGATATTTTCCACTTGGGTATTGAGCGAAGCTTTGTTGATTTTAAAATCCAAGCCATATCCTCCAATTTGAGATGATGAAAACTCTCCTTTCTCATAATCATGGGTAATAAGTATTTTTTCCACTCGGATAATACGATGATGTCTCGTCTCTTAAAATTAACCAACACACTTGTGTTTTAAAATTTCTAAAGGTGAACTACGAGTACCCTGATCCCCTATTACACAGAAGATGGTACGTAGGCACTAAAGGTTCACAACCGCGGCGGGTGCAAAAATCATAAAAAATATATACTTCTTTCCTCATCCCCACAATCTATTTTTGTATACAACATTTATAGCCAAGATACACAGATTTTCAAAGAGGTTCATGCGGAGTACCGTAGATGTTTAGGGTGCTAATATCTTCCCTTTGCATAACCAACCCCCGAACTTAGATTCTGTCCCCCTCTTTTTGGTTTATTGGCTCTTTTCCCATTCCTTTGGAAACAATAAAGCGCGCTGGCGATATTTTTATTTGATCTTTACGAGTCGAGTCAATCCAATGGCTTAGTCTCAACATTTCTACCGCTACACTCCTTTAAGTGAAATGGCCATTTAACCCTTCAACCATGCAATAATTACCAATTTTCCCTTTTAGTTCAATCCCTACTATATACTTGAGGTCTCTATTAATATTTACTTAATTCAATTAAGTTCATGAAGTAGAGACATATAAATTATCCTTTATTCTCATGCTTAGAGAATTTGGGATGTTACATTCTCCCCCCTTAAATAGAATTCACCCTCAAATTGCTTCCAATCACCATGAGAATAACTTCTTTATATCTTCTTCCAACGAGGAGATGAAATGATCCTTATATCCTTCCGTCACATGCTTATCTGGAAGTCTTAGTCATCTCATAACACATCGTTTCAGATACTCTGTCCAGACATACTTGAGAAGTAATCCGTCCAAGGTTCCTAACCTTTACTTATTCACATCGAGTCTTCATGGCTTCAGAATTCCTGGAAATTCATTTTGGTCGGATATTCCTCATCCTCAATGTTCGCTAAGCTCATTCTTGCCTAACACATGCCGCTGATTCTTACTTCTTCTCCGTTCGTTTCTTGTATAACCTCGAATCCATACATCTCTGCTTCTGTGTCTCTTTCTAATGATAACATTTCAGAATCGCTTCCACTTGGGTCCATACAATGTCATACCATTTCTTGTGGAATTTCTTGGTCCTGACTTCTACTTTCCAGATTCTAAGAAGGTTTTGCTACAAGTTCCCTTCGCTAAGCAACCAAAACTTCTTACTTCGGTCCTTCCTTCAATTCTTACAAACTCCACCGTTAACCCATGAACATATGATTATATACCACCACTTAGTCTCTTCTGGGACTGTCCATAAACAATATCTCTCTAGATTATGGTGGATCCTTGAGATATTGAGATGAACAAAATATCGCTTCAACGAATTTATCTTAAGAAGATATCTCCAATCAAAACAACTCTTAGAAGTGTCCCGTTCACACCTGTTACAAGCTTATCTATGTCTTCTTTTATCTGTTGCGCTACTCTGTCCTCGACCATTCACACACTTCTCGAAATCCTCTGAATGACATTATATCCTTAATCCATGTAGTTCCATTGATCTACTACACTTTGCTTAATCCCTTAATAACAACAATTCTTTCTTGGAATTCATCCAATCACGATACACGCTATAATCTTAAACACCCTCCACAAAACTACTCCTTGAGGTTGAGAAATTCCCAATATCAGGTCACTAACGATTCTATCATTCTTGGCTTATTCTCTTCAGAACATGACCTTTGTCATACATTTCGGTTTCATAATGTTTAAGGTCAAAACCCATTGAATAAGAACTCATCATACCTTATTGACTTCCACATGGTACAACTAATTGTACAACTTTATACTCTTAGTGTGATAACACCTCTATTAACTCATGCAACTTAACCGATGCAATATCCTTTCACAGTTACACTTTGTCCATGTAGTCGTCTAATTTCGTTTGTAATTCCCCCCAGGTTTCCTTTGCGATTCACCGACTAAACTTACAAATCAATACAAATCCTTTCAGCATGCATTGTCCTTACTCACACGCTTTCCGGGAACTTCCATGAAGGTCACCCATCCCTATATTACTCCAAGTCAAACACGCTTAACTATGGAGTTCTTATGAAACAAGCTACCAAAAATAAGATGAGTCTTGTTATTATAGGTAGCACCTACCAATCCTTATACGCCTTCCTTCAACCTTGAAGTCCCATACCTGCACAGCCTCAGGATCCTTCTCATACTTGATACAAATTCAGTTTCCAACTTGAAGCCGCTAGAATTGTCTCATTACCATGCCCCGTTGTTTCTAAAACTATCACTAAACTAACTTCCTCGGTTGCATTCATAAATGCATCAGTTCTAATGTCTAGAGTGTGACTATAATGAAATGAATCATAATTTGTGCCTCAAATATTTCCCTTTGAAATTTATCAGCACTCTAAAGCCAATGTGTCTCTGCTTATTGAGACTGACATTGCTTCACTTCTGAGAATCTATAGATACTCCTCTAGACACATCTCATGTTAGCTAACCCAAGATATACTTCATCTATTCTAACACTGATCACAAATGTGAAAGAATAGCCACACATCATGCTGGCCAAGATATGACAACCACACATCAGTTACACCTCTGGCATTCATGCACACTTACCATTTACCACTCCACGAAACAAGAAACATATATAAGGTATCATCTGATATCACCCACGTGGCCATGACTACTTAGGGTCCTAATAGGCATAGTATCGGAACTTGATCCTGTAATACCCCAAATTTGTCCTACCCTTTTATCAAATCACCTGGCTTATGCATTCCGTTCTTATTTCATATGCATACCCTCCATTAGGTAAATTAACACCTCATGCATCATTAACCAATAAATTTATCACGGGATCAAGGATATTGAATAATTAGGGTTGCTGTATGGCTTTAAGGTTCTCATCTTTACTCAAGCTTGAACCAACTGATTCTTTCATCAATCAGAGTTTGTTTGAAGATAGGGTTTTAATTCATGAACCCCTTTATCACCAAGCTACAAGGACATCTTCATCATGTGTTTTTAAGCCATCAATGTTCGTCTCAAGGAAGCTTATGGTTTTGTGATCACCATCACTCATATGCTTCTAATTGCTCATATATACAAGGTTTTCCTCAAGACATTTTCTTCAAGATCATTAGTCATCGAAATGAGGTTCCTTTGCAAAGTAAATTTCAAGATTTAAATCATGGGACAAAGGTGATGTTGTGGACGCGTGATATGATCAAGGAATTGTTATTATTTGTTTATTCAATTACAAGAGGTGGATTTAAGATGGAAATTAAGAGTTTTAGCAAGGAGGCGAGATTGATTTGGTTTGGTTCTTATGGATTCGTTATTTAGAATCATTTGAGGTGCTACCTAATGTCATGGATTAAATTTGTTTGAAGTTTGCAAAGTAAAAAGTGCATTTGGATTTCTTGAAGAACAAGTGAAGTTATAAAAACATTAACAAAACATGGTCATGACATTAAGCTATATTCAAGTTGAATTCAAGATGGTTGTAGTCAAACAAGGTTTATTAAAAAGTCATCCATAATTCTCAAGACAAGCTTGTAAAATCAAATAACTTTGTTCAATGTCCATCAAAGGTTTTTAAACAATTTCATTCAAGTTTCCAAGGCATTACAAGAGTCACTTCATTCAAGAGAAAAAGGCAAGAATCAATGAGGTTTAAGGATGTGAATTCTAATTTGAAAGAGGATAAATGATTGAAGAGGATATCATTACATCAAATATCACCATTTACATTACCATCACAAGTATATTACAAAAGGAATTCACGCAAAAGGGCTTACACTTTCTACCAAAGTTTATACAATGCCTAAGCATGTTGTTCCTAATCCTAAGCTTCATCATAGCCTTAAAATTATTGCCATAACTCCATGATTCCTCCTTCAATGTCATGCCTTTGCCAAGATTTTTCAAGCCTTCAGTCAATATGCTTCCCTGCAACACAAACTCAGTTCAGAAAAATCGACTAACAAAAAAAACCCAATCCAATTCACAAGCCACTGCATTATCAAACGGATGAAGCAAACTCAGTTCAGCTAACATATCCATAGCAGCTACTAACTTTCAAACAGAATCCTATAACTTTCAAACTAAAGCTAGCCGGTTTGTTAACAACCTAACTACCCTGCATCATTGAATCATAACCAACAAAATAACAAAAATAACTAACAGAATGTCAACTACCTTAAACCCTAAGTAACCATATAACAAAATTCCTAACAGAATGCTAACAAAAAATCTCTAACTGACTCCATAACCCCTAACTTCCTCTAAAAAACTTTAACAGAAGAAAAACAGAAAACAAAATGAAAACGGGAAAAAAAAACAGAAGAAATATTCATTCGCCAAAATAAACAACATATAACAGATTGAGAGCAGGGAGGAAAAAGGATTCATTTATCACAAAAAATCAGAATCAAATTTCTATCCTCTAACAACTTCAAAAGAAGAATTTCACAACTAACCTATAAATAACTTCTCTAACTCTCTAACAAACTTTCAACAAAGGATAACAGAAAAGGAAAAAAGGATAACAGAAAGGGGGGGGGGGGAGATTCATCTTTTCATGATTCATGAAAAAACCACAGAAAAAGCTATCAAAACTCACCTCTCTACTCTCCCTCAATCTTCATTTGTTCAACAACCTTCTGAAGAATTCTCATCTTTATCCCCAAGCTTCAACACTTCTGAATCCTCAATTATGTATGCTTCAGTTATTTCGAATCCGTAAAACCAGTATCGATTATGCATCCAATCATCATCAATTCTTCAACCATCAACAAACTTCAGTAATAACAACAATGAATTCCTCGAACCTTCATCTCTGCATCAAGGATTTACAATAATTTCATACAACACGAAATGCAGAAACCAAAATCCGAAAGAGAAGGATGAATGGGAAAAGAAGACATACTTGAGGGGTTCTCATCGTCTTCATTGCATCGAAGAGCCACCAGAGTTCTCCGATAGGTAAACAATCTTCCTTTCTTCATAGATTTTCTTCACTATGTGAACCGTATACATTTGTTTATGTTGAAATGAATTGAATCCGTTAGAAACCTCTAAACCGGAACCGAGGAGATGAACGTCGGAGTCAAGAATGTTTGAAAATGAATGTGATGCTTATGAAGTGGAGAGTGAATAAGTGAGACGAAGAGAATCTTTGAAGATGAGCAGAGGTGATGATCCTTATAACAAATCAGAGATGTTGAGGCGATGAGCAGCGTATGGCAGTCACGGCGGATACGAAGGCTCTGCTTATCCATTACTGATTGAAGAGAATCGTCGGTGATGGTGAATCATGATGGAGTTGTGGCGGTGAGGAAGAAGAGAGTGAGAAGAGATTTTTCATGAAGAAGTTGAAGAATCCTCAACAACATTGAACCCTATCCCTTACATCAAAATGCCATCGTTTATTATTCCTCTCCATAATTTTTACTTTTTTATTGATAATCTGAAGAGTGAATTGGACTGGACTAGGATCATCATCCATGGGCCTCATTTTTGAACCCTCCATAAGCCCACTCCATGTTTCTTATTATTTCCTTGGAACCTGTTTGCTTTGACAAAAAAACAATAACTTCTTGGACTATCATGCTGCTGGGCCTTCAGCCTGGGCTTAAGCCACTTTCTGAGCTCCCCATCTGATTCAGACCTTATACCCCCTGGTTCTCTTAGTCTTCTTTTTATCACCTTTTAGTTTTTACTTTATTTTCCATAGTTTTGTAATAGAAATACATGATAAAACAATAAAAATATATTAATATAACTCTTTGTAATTCCTTTTAGAATTTTAATTAGAGTTTTATTATCATTTTTATGTTTGCTAATCATTTGGTTGTAATTGTTGTTGAGAGTTTATGATAGTATTAAGGCAATCTTTTGTGATATTGAATGCTTGGATATTAATTCGTTTGATCATTTGTGTGAAGCAACTTTTGTAGAGTTTTCTTATCACTTGTGTGGTTTTGAATAGGTAACGGACCTTCTCTGTTAGGTATCATCGTGGCTTCACTTTTATTCCTCCTTTCCACATTTTACC